CTCACCGATCTCACATCTACTTTATATGGATGATCTCAAACTATTCACATCAAAAGAGAGTAATCTACTATTATTGTTGAAATTAACACATAGTTTCAACAATGATATTAGAATGGAATTTGGAATAGATAAATGTGCTGTCATTAACGTAATTGTAATTTAGCAATTACAAATGACTTACATTTCAGTTCTCTTTCTGAAACAGAAACCTATAAATACTTGGGCATGGCAGAAACGCTAGGAATTAATGACAAAAATTTTAAAGAAAATTCAAAAGTAAAATTTATGTCAAGGTTAAAAAAAGTTATCAAAAGTCATTTATCCGGCGGAAACAAAATTAGAGCCTATAACTCCTGGGTAATACCTAGCCTTCTATATACTTTTGGTGTTACAAGATGGTCTCAAACGGAATTGGATGACTTAGATAGACGAGTCCGTACATTAATGACTACGCACAGAATGCACCACCCACGATCATCTGTCATGAGGTTGTATCTTCCAAGAAAAGATGGTGGACGGGGCTTATTAAACATTAAAAACCTACACAACCGTGAAGTGTATACATCACCTCAGAGACTATTTTATTAAAAAAAAGTCACATCACACATTCATAATGACGTAGTGATTAATGATAAATCATTAACCCCGCTTAATATGTCGGCAAAGGACTGGAAGAGGCCTCATACTATGTCTATAGATGAACGCAAAAAGGTTTGGAATGACAAACAACTGCATGGTCGATTTTTTAAAGCATTGACTAATCCTTATGTAGACATGGTTGCATCAGTACATTGGTTACAATTTGGTGACCTTTTTGCAGAAACTGAAGGTTTTATCTGTGCAATACAAGATGAAGTAATTAAAACGAACAACTACCGGAAATACATTTTGAGGGACGGCACAGTTGACGTATGTCGCGCATGTCACCACCCTGGAGAGTCCCTCAGACATGTTATTTCCGGTTGTTCACAACTATCAAATGGTGAGTATTTGCACAGACATAACCAAGTAGCTAGAATAATACACCAACAGCTTGCCATTAAATTTGGCTTTACTCAACAGGATGTTCCTTATTATAAGTATGAACCAAAGCCAGTCCTTGAAAATAGAAGTGTCACGCTGTACTGGGATCGGTCAATTATCACAGACAGGTTTATAGTGGCAAATAAACCTGACATTGTGGTGATAGACCGAACTACACGCAAGGCAATAATAGTGGATATCAGTGCTCCTCATGACGAGAATCTCGTAAAAGCAGAGAATGATAAAAAAAATAAAATATATCGACTTGGCCCATGAGATTGTCGCTATGTGAGACGTTGATTCTACTATTATTGTACCAGTAGTTGTGTCAGTTAATGGACTTATTGGTAAAAATATGGACGATTATCTGTCCAAGTTAGGTTTGGGCAAATGGCTGAAAGCATTAATTCAAAAATCGGCCTTATTAAATACGGCTCGAATAGTAAGAAGGTTCCTATCTTTGGATGCCTAAATTCACCGATGGCTTAGAATTCCTCGCCGCGGTGGATAATAGCCGAAATAATAATATTATTTATATAGATTGTATTTATATTTGTAATATTATAGTTTTGTGATAATATATGTGATCATATAATAATAATTTTATTTCAGACCGTGGTCCATATATTGTTAGTAATGTTGTTAGTAACGATAGTGGCTTAAAACTATGTTAGTATTGTAAGTAATTACACATTATTTTAATCCTATGACTACGCCCACCCAGTGATTCTGTATGGGACAGTCATATCTTACAGATATCGCTCTCAGGATGCTGTTATTACTGTTTCGTAAGCGTTGCAAGAGTGAAGCTGTTTTCTTTCGAATGATCGCTGAAAAAGTGTCAGTACGCGCTTGTGCAAACATACCAGATGCACTGCAATGCCACGGCAGCCGCAACAACATCTTGAAAGCATTATTATACTGTACGCGCAGAGCATTGAAAGCTCGACGCGTATATGTCACCCACAGGGCACTAGAGTAAAATGATTGACAAAACGCTTTGAACAGCGTTATTTTAACTGTATCTGTACATCTAGCGAACCTGCGAGCAAGCATATTGGCTCTCACTGTCAACGCCCTGCGCTCCCTTTCTATGTCCTCGTCGTCCCGGAGGTCTGCTGTCACAATGTGACCCAAATATTTAAAACTATCCACCAGCTTTAGAGGCACCCCATCGAGGGCTACTGGAGGCACACGGGAGGGCTGGTGTTTGCCTGCTTTGAACACAAGAAGTTGGCTTTTGTTAGCGTTATATTTAAGCCCGTGTGCTTCCGCATATGTCTCGCGTATTGATAATAAAGTCCTCAGTGCATTGATTGAGGGACTCAGCAGCACCATGTCGTCAGCATAGCTTATATTATTGAAGCAGACATCGTCAATATGACAGCCGAAATGAGTACTACTGAGTCGCTCAATAAGCTGATTGACATACAAATTAAACAATAGAGGCGAGCTTAACCCCCCCCCCCTGTCTTACACCACATTGCAATCTATATTCATTCGAAAGCGTACCGGCCCATCGCACTTGATTTTTCTGGTTTGAATACCAGAATTTTAGGAGGGAGATGCACTCCATCGGCACACCCGCACACCCCAACTTCTCCCATAAGCGGTCATAAATTACGCGATCAAAGGCTTTTGACATGTCGAGGAAGCAAGCGAATACTGGAGTCCTTCTCTTCGTATAATAGTTTACTGTATGTTTCAAGCTCAGAATAGCACTCTCGGTAGATAATCCGGTCTAAACCCGAACTGGGCATCATTCAGCTTCACATGTTTTTCGAGATTGCTATTCAACAGACTGTCAAGCAACTTAGCTGTTGTTGTGCAAGTGAGATAGGCCGATAATTATTTTTGTCAGAAGTGTCACCAGTCTTATTTTTAAGGATCGGTATCACAATAGTGCGCATTAAAGCCTCAGGCAAGTAAGAGTAACATAGACATAAATTAAAGAACATCGCGAGTACGCGCGGTAGGTGCACCCCAGCATACTTAAAATGTTCAATGCTGAGACCATCGTGACCGCCGCGATTTGCCCCTCTTCATGTATTAACTGTCGATACATGCTTTGCTGAGAAGGAAACCTTACGTTCCGTCACAATGGTCGCAGCATCATTTACATTACAAGGAACTGGATCCGAGGACGACTGAATACTAAAATGCTCGCTGAATAAATTGGCAATCATCTTATGATCATGGACGCCGCCGACACTCACAGGAAGCGTAGGTTTTACATTCAATTTATTGGTGTTCTTCCAGAAATTTTTGAAATTTTTAGCCGAATGATTTGAAGCAAGTAAATCCATTTGTAGTTGCTCTTGCCTGTCTTGGCACCATTTTAACTTTGATTCAAATTTTTTACGCGTTTCTAACATTTCATTATAAATATTGCCGATTTTTGGTTTACCTGCCATTAACCACATCATAAAATTTAAGTCTAGCCTCCCTGTGCGCGCCAGCAACGTATTTATTCCACTCAGTGACATAACCTTTATTTCTTGTACATTTTCTTTTAACATAGGTCTGCGAAGCTGATTCTGACAGAATACTTACAATCTCCCTATACAATTTGTCTAATATTAAGTAACGACTTGTATTACTACATGAGTAATCACAGCATTGGTCTAACTCTAGCGGAAATTCGATATTCTTTATTTTAGAATGACACAATTCATGATATTTATTTATCTGTTCCAACTGCCTATCTCCCCATATTATACATTTTTTGGACTCGCCAATTGGAACATCAATTTCAACTTTCTGATTTAATTTGTATAGGTTCACATTCAATTATGAGCGGAGAGTGGTCCGACCAATATACGTCATGTTTCACCGATACTTTATTAATCGTCGCCCATGCAGATTGAGTGACTATACAGTGGTCTAACCATCTCTCACACCCATGTGCATCACTACAAAATGTATAAGTGTTAGACTGAAGCCCTAACATATCAACATCCGCGCAGTACCATGTGTAATCATTACAGAAATTAATTAATTTATTATAAAATATTTCCTTTGGGTGCGCATTAAAGTCTCCAAGTAAATAAAATGCCTTCCAAACCACAATTCTCTTCCACTTCAATAATAGATTTTATTAAACTAAGGCATTCTGTAAATATACACAAGTTTTCATGGCAGTTTGTCGGCATGTCGGCATGTAGTAGTATGTAGACGCTAAAAATTACTACGGATCTATTACTTACAGTTATTTTAATCGCCGCTGTCCGAACATTCTCACAATTTATCACAGATACCGTTTGAAACACACTTTTCCTCCATAACAACGCAACACCACCGTACGGTCTACCAGTAAGTAGGCCAGCAGAGGTGTTGATTGCCGACGTTCCCGTAGCACCAAAACCACTGTCAATTGTGCTCAGTAAAGGCAACTCGTGTGGTAGAAGCCAGGTCTCCTGTAAGGCTATTACGTCGGCAGAGCGACATAATTCTCTAACGCCTTCGAAAGACCTCTTGATTGATTTGCAGTTAAAACTTATTAATCGAGAATAATTTTTATTATCGCTGTCCATTATATTGTATATATACCTTAAAATTGTATTTATATGTGTAATGTTTATCTATCTATTTATTTATATTTTTACTAGGTTTTTTTTCTCTTCTTCCTCTAAAGTTAATAAATCGCCTAAAGCCGATTCTATGGGGCCATAATCTATCGTCTAAAAACACGTCTATTTTGTATTTAGGAACAAAGACTTTGTATGCATTGTAATTGCTTTGTATTTTCATATCTATCTTTACTAAAGAAATATTTTCTCCTGTCTTTTTATGAATATAGTCAATAATATCCTGTTCAGACACCTCTTTATGCACTTTTGAGATAAATTGGCCTCTGCCGCCTTAAATTTTTCACTACCATTTAACTCTGGAACAGCATTCCCACTTTTTGTTATAAACCTGTTTCTTAATCTTCTTTTCTGTACAAAAATCCACTCTTCATCTTTGTTTGTTTCTTTTCACTTATTGCCAGCTTTAGTCGTTTCCGCAAAAGATAGTTTTTGCGCCAAGATATTATCAGAGTTCATATATTTATTTTCCATAGTACTTATAAGCTCCACACTACTACGTGACTCATTGAACATGATCTGAGCCGGCCGAGTGCTACTGGTAAATACATTTACGTCAGTGGTCTCTTTTGCACACGCTTCAGAATCGCACACCTGCTTTGCTTGCGGCAATATCTCCTCCTCTTTCAAAATTTGAGTATTTTGTTTATGTTTACAAATACATGCACGCGCATCGGGTTCATTATCAATTTTGTGTGAGGGAGATGAGCATACATTGTTGTCCTCTTTTGTAGGCGATTCATTACCATACAATGAAAGTGCCATCGGTCCGCTATATAGTAGCTATTTATTTGTTAAATACCTTCCGCAAATTAAGTTTTTGTTTCGCTTGTTATTAAAAGGAGATGACTGAAGACATTCTGATACACAATCCTTTAATTCTTGTTTTGTCACAATGTTTTGTTGAATATTTGTAATTGTATCTTGTAACAGTACGATTTTCTTAAGCAACGCGGTAACATCCACATGATCAAATGTGACCGGCGGTAGTTTCTCCAAATCTTTCGCCACAAAAATTGGTATTTTTTCGGGGTCACTCGCTTTAAACAAAGTTATAATATCATCCAGATTGCGCTGAGTTTTACCCTTACGTTTTCTGGTTTTAATGGTTTTCTGTAGTCATTCAAAAAGTAGCGATTTTGCTATTTCAATATCTTCGACAGGGGGGGGTTGGGGGGGGGGGGGGGCCTTCGGGGCCGGGGGGGGTTTTTTGCTGTGGTCAGGCATCGGAGAAGAACCAAAGGGTGGTAGGGAGGGGGGGGGGCGGCAGGGTTGAGGAGCGGAGAGACGAGGGAGGGGAAAGGGTTTCGGGGGGCGGCCCGGTGCGGGGGGGCGGGGTGGTGGGGGCGCCCCCTAGTGACTTGGTAAGAGGGGGGGGGTGGGGGATTGGGGTGGCCAACCGTTGGGTACTGGGAGCCTATGTTCAGCGTGGACTGTGGGTGTGATGATAGATGTGAATATCTTCCTAAAGGCACTTTCACATATGCGGATGAGACTCTCTTCATCCATAACGTCCAATTTATTTTGGATAAATGCTAACACTTCACAGATGACTATATTACAGCTTGCACACTTTACTCTTTTTGAAGACGACATATTCGTAGCGTAAGGCACTGCCCACACATACGCTCGTGACCGCGATCAAGCGCTGACTGATCCTAGCTAGATCGATTTATTGCCCCGGAAACTCCCTGGACACTAAATTTTATGAAAATAGTTCTTAAGTTGGATATATTAGATCCAAACATGATCCCTGATAGGGCGTAGCAATATTATATTATATCTCAATTTATTCTTATCAATTTAGAAAGAGTAATTTTATTTTACTTACTTAAACTACTTACTTAAACTACTACATTACTTTTAGGTTTAATAAACATTTGCAATATTTACAACGATATTAAAGAGGTACATACATATTCAAAATAATTATTATTTTTCACCAAAAACTCTGACAACGAATAGAAACTTTTTTCAATTAAATATTTTTAAGCTCTCTGAAATTTATACAACGATTCTTCTTTTTGTAGACATTTGGGAATTTTATTATAAATTTTTACACACATACCATGGGGTCCTGATTTAACTGTTTGTAATTTTGTGATAGGTAGAGCTAATTTTATACTAGGACGTAAAAAATGAGGCCGGGAGTATATTGAAAAAAGGTGCATATTCTTTTTAACAAATGTGCATACTTCTAGTATATATATAGATGTAATTGTTAATATTTTTAATGAAATAAAGTAGGGTTTACAGCTGTCAGTGCTATCTATGTTTGTAATTATGCGGATACATTTTCTTTTGTAAATTAAACAATTGATTTACGTCTGTGCTGTTTTCCCACAGTAAAATGCCGTACTTGAGCTATGCATGGGCATAAGCATAATATGCACACGTGGCTGTTCTTGTATTAAGTTCGTATAGTGCATACGAAAAACGGGAAAGTTTAGATGATACTTTCTTTATGTGTTCTTTCCAATTTATACCTGAATCTATGTTTATACCTAATAATGTATATGAATCAACACATTCTAGTTTAATATCGTTGTAAGAATAATTTATAGATAGGGGGCATTTTTGATACGGCTTAAATTATTATTTTTTGTGTAATTTATGACGAGATTGTGATTTTTTAACCATTTAGAGATATCTGTAAGTACACTATCTAGACAGTTGTTAAGATTGTTGTTAGTATTATTGTCGAAAGGTATGACTACAGAAAGATCGTCAGCAAACATGGTACAGGGGGCTTTGACTATTTTCGGCAAATCATTAATATAAATTAAAAATAATAAACAACCGAGAACACTACCAACCTTAACCTTTGTTTTAAACTTAAAATTTGTCTAGGAAGACACTAATAAATAGTTGTCCTATTTTTTGTTTACTATTGTTGTATTTAATTTAAACTTTTGAAAACAACGTATTTTATAATAACTTCTATTTTTCTTATTCCCTCTCTTGTTTTTGCGTCCGTCCCGTTGTTTTTAACACATACTTATTAAATAGTCATATCAATACGGAAATCTACAAATTAATTTCATTTATTTCTCATGCACCGAGAAGCACCGCCCATTTTTAATATAAAAATATGAATGCCCAAAAAAATTTAACATTTACTACGTTTCGAATACCGTAGAACTGGTAGCCGAGTGCTTATTCAAGCAATTAAACTTTCGCTTTGTAAAGAGAAAGATAAACTTCACAGCCAGTAAGTTCTCGCTATGAGATGGCTGTTCATTATGAGTACGGCTACATTAGGCTACATATAGTCGTTTATTTAGCAGTATAATTTTTATAGAATAAAAGCAACAAACGAGCACGCAGTCCACATGATGGTAATTTAATATACTATGTCTCATAAACACATGTCTACATTTCCCCTTGATAAAGAATCAAAATACAGATACTTTGTCATTCTAGAAGATTAAGTTGGAATGCCTCTAAACCGGTACTAGCGATATTTCGCACGGGTGTCACGGAATCGTTCTGTCTATTGATGAAAACCGCATCAAAATCGGTTGCGTAGTTTAGAGATCCAAGCGTACAGACGGCGGGCAGTGACTTGGTTTTATACTGTGTAGAGGAAATGGCTCTCCGGTAGCCCATTCTTACCATACGAAATACAGCAGCATGTCTAATGCTGAACATAGGTCTTCCCCATAGATTGCCACAAAGTACGGTGCTGAGCCACCTGCATCCATTGACTGCGGCTTTAATCGGTTCGTCACTCCATTATGGGGGCTCGCTTAACACTGCGCTTGCCAGTACGAAGCTGCCACATGAGAACTTTTCTTTCCCATTTGTTGTAGGTACTGCGATATGTTCGATATGTCTCCATTACGTAGTCAGTTGGGCTATGATAGGTACGCTTATTCTTTTCAGGATTTATATTTATCAACGTTTTTCATTGTGGGAGCCGTGGGTTTTCCGGAAGAAGGAGTTTGAAGCGTACGTTTTGTAGGTTCAACCTCGTCCTATTGTTGAGCACATCAAGTAACGACCTGGAAAGACATACAGGAAGTCAATGGATGCAGGTGGCTCAGGACCGTGCTTTGTGCATACCTTGGGAGAGGCCTATATTAAGCAGTGGACTTGTGAAGGGCTGTAATGATGATGTAGATTTTTAAATGGAATAAACGTGTTTTCTTTTATTCCTCAGCGACAAACAAAACATCTAAATTTTGATAGTTTATCTATGACAGATGTAGATATCTTGGCCACAGCATCCACTAATCATCGAGTGAACTGTTTGTTTGTCACCCTTACTTTATGTAATGTTTAATTGAGACACTCTGTCATTTCTGTGAGGGCTACGGTCAATGGAATTTTCACCGCGCTGTCCCGATACGTGTTGGTGAACTTCACATGTCTTCGAAATATTTTTATTTAATTTCTCAGGTGTGTTAAATTCCTCACGATGTTTTCCTTTGCCAAGCGCGTGGTAAATCAGCGAGATCGATCCGGGGTTGTTCACGTAGTGTGGAATTTTTAGATTACATCCTGAGGTATCAGGACTCGTTTTCGTAATATGTGACGAGCACATCAGTGTTTTTCCCTTCGTTTGAAGTTAGTTGCAGGTGTCCATGGGCTGCAGTAACCACTATCAGGTTAGCTGTACGTTTCTTTATCGTTTACATTTAATTAAAAATGTCCTTGCGAACAATATCCCTGTGGAACATTAGCGTGCCGTCCACTCTTCGCAGCTGAACGTTTCCCTGCTAGGTGGCCACAATAATCGCATACAATCCGCACTGCTCTTACAGCCTTACAAATTCTACCGCCGGTACCGCAATACCCATATTATGAAAAGTTTCATCGCTTTTTGTAACAACTCGCAGTCATTTTCCGGTAATTTGAGTGCTAAAAGGAAAACTTTCGTCGTGAGAATAGTTAAAGTTCTTTAATAATACTTCTTCTTTGGGTAAAAATGAAGCTACATATCCGAGATAATAAAAAAACGTTGTTTACTATATAATAATAACTTGTGTATTTATATACAATAATATATTTTTTGACGAGTTATTATTATTAATAACTTGTCAAAAATATATTATTGAAATCAATTCCATCAAAATAAATATATAATAACATTAAAATAATAATGCTGTGATTTAATTTCCAATATTATTTACATAGATGTCATCTCTGATCTTTTTAAGGTTTTAGCGAAGTTTGGTCGCCCAAAATATGATCTCGTATATGACGTAATTAACTATAACTATAACTGCGACAAGAAGCAATGTCGAAGGTTCGAGAATCTGGTAAGTACGAGTATTACGGACTAATCTGTCCACTAAGCGTGACGATACTGGCAAATCCTTCTGACCCCGGCAATGCATATTGGCCAAACCTCAGCCAACGAGAGCGTAGGCAACCGATTCCAAGGCCAATGTTCACGAGTTTTTGTGGAGCTATATTATACATGTTGGCCGTAATTAATCGTCATTGAGAATTGGTATGATATGGACGACGTAAGAGTTATTGCAGCTTTTGCTATTTATTTAGTAAGTGCATATAATTATTATGTAAGTTTACTCCGCAGTGAAGTTAAAAAACTTAAAGACTTCCTCGTTAGTATAGTGAAATTGTCAAACTTATTTTAAAGTTGCAACTTAATTAAATCAATATCTTACCGAGACGGACGCCAAGCTGTAACTGACATGGGCGACTAACATGTGGACGAGACTAGCCGAGTGCAGGCGAACGCCTTTGAATTGTGCATAAAAACCGACACTGTTCCGAAGTGGCCAAGTCGTAGCGAG